TATATATAGTGACACTGGAGATTGATGAGCAATGTGCTGAATACTTGAATGCATTCTTGTGTTCTGTTGAACTATTCCTGTACTCCTATAAGGGAGAGGTATTAACTTTATTTTACTTATGAGAAAAGCAGGCTCACTGTTCATGGTGGTGCATACCTTTAATCCCAGCACTTGGAAAGTAGAGGAAGGAGGATCAGGAGTTCATGCCTGGCTCAATGGGCACTTTGAAGCCAGCCTGGCTATATGTGACCCTGTCTCAAAAAAAGATAAAACCTGAGGCTGGCAAGATAGCTCAGTGGATAAAGCCTTACTGTACAAGGCTAATGACCTGAGTTTGATCTCCAGAACCCATGTAAAGTGAGTGGAAGGAGAAAATCAATTCCACTAAATTGTCCTGTGACCTCCGTACATGTGCCATGGCACATACACCACCCTCTAACCCAGTAATAAATTAAAACAAAAAGCCTGAGGCTTAGCACTTTAAGAAATTCTCAGGGGCTGGAGAGATGACTCAGTGGTTAAGAGCACTGACTGCTCTGGCAGAGGACCCAAGTTTGGTTCCCAGCACCCATATGGCCAACAACTACCTATAACTCCAGTTCCAGGGGATCTAATGCCCTTTTCTGGCCTCCATGGGCATTGCACACATGTGGTACACTTTATGTACAAGCAGGAAAAGCACTCATACATATTCAAAATAAATAAATAAATAAATCATTAAAAAAAAAAAAAAGAAATTCTCTCTAGGTTATACTGTTGGTAAGGGGGAGCAGGGGGTGTCAGTGCTGCAGTTTGAACCCAGGCAAAGTGCTCTAGTTCTATGGATTGATTTAAACGCAAATAGGCTTAAATATAAGCTTTAGTGTTTCTCTCTGGTCTAGCTACCCCTGCTCTTACCCTCTGTTGTGTATTACTGCACTGCCTGGTGTAGTTCACACTGGTTTTATTCCAGCCATGCTTCATCCTCTAGTGTAACCACAGTGTGTTCTGTTATGTATGTGAAAATGTGCCAGAGCACAACTCTCTCCTAGTTTTTGCTCACCAAAATGCTGGACACCTAGTCTTGTTCCTCACTACATATCTAATGCTTACATAATTTGTATTCAATTTTAGTAAGTGTGTACAAACTGAGAGATGAAGGAAGTGCTTCTGAATTGCTTTCCCTTCAGCTCTGGTCAACGTTCAATTTCATTTTTCCCACAGCCATTTCGGATTTCTGACGTGGTGGCAAAGCAGAAATTAAGCATAGGAACCTGAGCCAGGGCACTATGAAGGGCAGAGGACAAGGGGGATGGTCATGCCCCAGGGGCCACACAAGTGTACGTGGGCCAGGGGCATTAAAGGGCCACAGAAGAGTTGCAGGGGCTTAGGCCAGGGCTGGGAAGCAGTTTATCTTGTCCTTGGCATGCAGAGGCAGGCTTTCAGCAGGTATCAAACATGGAGGAGACGTGGGAGTTCCCACCTTTGCTCACCCTCTTCCACCCATGCTTCTAGACCCCAGCTTGGTTGCCTTCTTGAGGTCTCACAGCCATACCCGTAAGCAAGCAGGAGCAAAGGCCACCAAGGAGCAAAGGCCAGGAGGACCCTCATTTCCTGTCACCAAAGAAGACCCTATCATGTCAGCTTCTACCAGTGAACCTGGGAAGGAGAACAGGCCAGAGCCAGGAGCACCAGGTTTGGAGGAGAGGGACCATCTTTTGGGGAAGAAAAGTTAAAAAAAAGTGGGCCAGCAAGATGGCTGAGAGTAAACACACTTGCTGCCAAGCCTGATGACCTAAGTTCAATCTTTGGAATGCACATGGTGGAAGGAGAAAACCAACTACTGCAAACAATGATCTGACTTCCACCTGCCAAATAAATAGATGTTAAAAAAAAAAAAAAAAAAAAAGTAAAGCAAAGTGTCCCTTTTCCTTGGCCTGGCTGATTGGGAAGAGAGGAAGTTCTCTGCCCTTGGATTTGGACTGTTAATCCTCATTAGTGCCTTTAAATTGGCTCAAATAGGCCTCATTTGCTGATACACATCTTCCTGAACATGCTTCCTGTTTTGTTGTCCTGTTACTGCTCACTCTCCACCTCTCATGGTAAGAGGCAGCAGGGTGCGATGGTCAATCGAAGGCTCCTCCCTGGACAGACTGACCATCTTCCTGCCTTTGCTGTAATTGCCCAGCTCTCAATTGCTTCATCCCTCTTCTCTCAGTGTTGGTGGGAGATAGCAGGTTCAGGGTGAGGGGAGAGAAGAGCCTGACCAAGGTCTGTGGACATGCCAGACCAGAAGCAGAGGCCAGTGGAAGCACTCATTTCCCAGAAACTAGATTATTCCATTAGAGATTAACAAAAGAAGAAATTGAATTACCACGGCCAGGAACCTCCTGCTCCCAGAGGAGTTCTGGTCCTACCGGGCAGACAGTCGGGTGGGGGTGAAGAAGTAGGAGTATGTTGTAGGGTGTTCCCACATCTTGCCCCACTGGAGAAGCATAGTTGCCTACTCCACTTTGTTACCACTCCCTTGCTCCTTTAAAGGACTGGTACTGGAGAGGGACTGCTGTGCCTTCCTTGGCATGTGTAATCCTGTCTTCCTTTCTTCCTCCTCTTTGTTCCTTTTCTCCTCCCAACAAATCTTTGGAGTCAAAAAGGGCCTAGAGCCAGGACTGTGTGTGTCTGCTGTAGCTAAGACATTCACCCCATTCCTAGGAGTTCCAGCCCCAAAACCATGCCATTTAGCCATAACAGGGTAGAGGCAGCTGGTCTTTGGCAGACGGGCTATGGCAGCTGCTGTCTGCCAGCTGGAACCCCTGTGGACTAGTGAACTGAGTGCCTTGGAGAATGCTCTCATGCTTCTGTCTCCCCAGCACTGGCACTGCCTGTGGCTCCCCACAAAGAATGGCTTCATATGGACACTGTTGAGCTGGAGAAGCTACACTGGATGCAGGACCTGCCTCCGCTCCGGCGGCAGCAGACACAGGAGGTGAGGGGTTCCAGCCAGCCTAGCAGGTCTACATAGGGGAGGGTGGAATGGGGCTGCTGCTCTTATACCCAGAACTGGGCACTTCTCTTCCCCTAGGCCTGAGTGGTAGCTTTTTCTTGCTCTCACCCTTCTCTCCCATCACTTTGCCTGACCCTAAGGCTACTTGAACCTCATTCCCAGTCAGAGGTGGAGTCACGATGGAAGTCCAAAGAGATTAAAGGTGAGTATGAGCAAACTGCTGCTGCCCCCAGCCTGGTCTTCCTTGTCTTTCCATTAGAGAATGCAAGCCCGATTCAGCCTTCAGGGAGAGCTCCTGGCCCCTGATGTGGACCTGCCCACCCATCTGGGCTTGCACCACCATGGAGAGGAGGCAGAGGTGAGGCATGGGACCCAAGGAGGACTAGGCAGGTGGTTTTGGTTTTTGGTTTTTGTTTTCTTTTTTTTTAATAACTATACAGAAAAGGACCTCTGGTCAGTTGCCTTTGACCTTTGATGTGCCCTGTTGTAGTTTGGAGCCTTGCTGTCATTCAGTTCCTTCCTTCCTTCCTTCCTTTCTTCTTTTTGAGGCAGTGTCCCACTGTGGACTGCTAGCTAGACTTGAACTCACAGAGATCTGCCTGTCTCTGAGATTAAAGTGTGCACCTCTATACCTGGCTATCCTTAAGTTTCTTAGAGTCAAAATCCTGCTCCTCTCCATCTCACATTCTAGTCTATTCTAGAACTTGCCAGTCTACTTCTGTCACCTCCCATGATAGTCCATAGACCATAGTCTTACCCCTGGTACTTACTCAACAGCCTTACATGCTCTCCTTCAGGCCATTCTATCCTGATTTCCCTGGCTTAACTCAAGGCATCTCTTACCTCAGATAGTTTCTCAGCTTCCCTCTATTCATAGAATAAGATCCTAGCTCCTGAGCTTGGCAGGACAGTCCATCTAGTCAATGCTGACCCTCTAGCCCACCTCCTTTACTCCTGCTGCACCATTCTGCTGGTGCCTCCTCAAGGCACCCCTGTTCTCATAGTCCTCCAGGATGCCAAGGAACGCTTGTACCCCTGCTCCATGCTGGGCCATGGAAGCTGTATCCATCCACTAAGACCAGTTTCCTTAGCCATACCTGTCCTCTGTTTGCAAATTCAACATCAATTACTATATCCAGTTTCCCTTATGCGGTGATTATTGTGTACGTGTCATTGATTGGCATGAGGCTCCAAGGAAAACAGGGACAGGATATCCCTTGCTAACCTTGTCTTTTACTTGACACCTTCCTGGGTATTTGTTTTAACTTCTGGTTTTCTGTCCCTGCCCCAGAGAGCAGGGTATTCTTTACAGGAGCTGTTCCACTTGACTCGTAGTCAGGTGTCCCAGCAGAGAGCACTAGCACTGTGTGTGCTATCCCAGATCATTGGCAGGGTAAGTGGACTATTGGTCTGCTCCTGCCCAGCCTCATCACACACCCCCTGACCTTCCCCACTCTTTTCCTGTGTTTTTTTGTTTCTTTATTTTTTGTTGTTTTGGGGGGTTTTTTGGTCTTTTTGAGACAGGGTCTCCCTGTAGCCCCAGCTGGCCTGGAGCTCACTGTGTAGACCAGGCTGGCCTTGAACTCATAGAGATCCACTTGCCTCTGCCTCCCGAGTGCTGAGATTAAAGGCATGTGCCCCCACGCCCAGCCTTCTTTTCCTGTTTTGTTTTTTTTTTAAAGATTTTATTTTATTTGTGTGTGTGTACTGCCTGCATATATACAAGTGCACCACATGAGTGCAGTGCCTGCAGAAGCCGGAGGAGGGAGTTGGATTTCCCTAACACTGAAGTTAGAAATAGTAGTCAGCTGTCACATGGGTGCTGGAAATGGAACCCCATCCTCTGCAAGAGCAACCTGTGCTCTTACTGTTGAGCCATGTCTCCAGCCTCTCTTTTCCTTCTTTCTATGGGTCAGATCAGGAACAATATAAATGCATTGTCATGGGTCAGCAAAGGCTCTATATAACATCTGCATCTTCAGCAATGTTTTATCTTCCTGCCCCCAAGGCCCAGGCTGGTGAATTTGGGGACCGGTTAGTGGGTAGTGTCTTACGGCTCCTCTTGGATGCTGGTTTCCTCTTCTTGCTGCGCTTCTCCCTGGATGACAGGGTGGATGGGGTCATCGCAGCAGCTGTCCGGGCTCTTCGCACTCTGCTAGTTGCTCCTGGAGATGAGGTATGTCAAGGATGGAAATGGGGTTTGGAGGTAGCAGGACTCCTCAAGCTGGCATGCCCATTGCCAAGGCTTTGCAGGCAGACAGAATGGAGAAAGGGATGGCAGGTGTTACCCCTTTCTCCTAAAGGCCACAAAGCCTAAGAGCCTTGTCTCTCTGCTCTGTGTGTGTGTATGTATGTATCTATCTTGTCTGTGTGTGTCTGTATGGGGAACAGGGTTTCTCTACCCATGGATCCATACTGCCTTTCTGTCTCTTCCCACCTCTGCCCTCTGTCCTCTGGCAGGAGCTCCTTGACAGCACCTTCTCATGGTATCATGGAGCTTCGGTGTTCCCTCTGAGGCCCATCCAGGAAGACAAGGAAGACGGGGGTGAGGACGAGGAACCCGCAACAGAAAAGGCAAAAAAGAAGAGCTCTGAGGAAGGAAGCAAGCCTCCACCTGACCTAGCTAGACATGATGTCATCAAGGTAGAGGGCAGCTTTTTTCCCATTTCTGACCTATAGGGCAGGTTTGTTAGGCAGGAGGGGTCATCAAGGCCTGGACCTCTGCCTCATGTGACAGTGGGTTTCTATCTCTGACCTCAGGGTCTCCTGGCTACCAACCTGCTTCCTCGGCTACGCTATGTGCTGGAGGTAACCTGTCCAGGACCTTCTGTGGTCCTTGACATTTTGGCTGTGCTCATACGCCTGGCCCGGCATTCCCTGGAGTCAGCCATGAGGGTAAGGACAGGAGGATGGTTAAGGTACAGGCCCATGGGCCCTTTTTCTTGTTTTGTTTTGTGGTGGTTGTTGTTGCTGCTGCTGCTGCTGTTGTTATTTTGAGACAGGATCTCAGGCTGGCCTTTAACTTGTAGAAATCTTCCTTCCTTAGCCTCCCAAATACTGAGATTATAGGCATAAGATGATGGTACTGTCATGATCCTCCCTACCTCCCTTATTGTCTTGTCTCGCATAGATCTTGGAGTGTCCTCGGCTAATAGAGACCATAGTTCGAGAGTTCCTGCCTACCAGCTGGTCCCCCATGGTTGTGGGGCCTACTTCTAGTCTACACAAAGTGCCTTATGCTGCAGCCATGAAACTGCTTAGAGTCCTGGCTTCAACTGGGAGGAATATTGCTGCCCGGCTGGTGAGCAGGACCAAGGGCAAGAGATGGAAGGCACAAGTTAGGGCTGGGTTGGGCTGAATTAGATGCTAAGCATGACCTCTGAACTCTCGGTAACTACCCCCATGCCATCTACCTCTTCCTTTCTGGTCCAGTTGCTTAGAATTCAACAGAAACCTGAGGGCAGAAGCCTGGTTATCTAGACCTTAGACTTCTGGTCTCATGATGTGGGGAGGGTTCACGGACCCCAACCATGATCCAGAGTTGCATGCAGACAGGCACTCATCACCTGTAGCCAAGTAGAAAGGGTACGAGCCGGGTATGGTGGCGCACGCCTTTAATCCCAGCACTCAGAAGGCAGAGGCAGAGGCAGGCGGATCTCTGAGTTCAAGGCCAGCCTGGTCTACATAGTGAGTTCCAGGACAGCTGGGGCTACAGGAAGACCCAGTCTCAAAAAGACCAGAAAAAAAAAAGAAGAGGGCTGGTGAGATTATTCAGCAGGTAATTACACTTGCTGTCCATCTTGATGACCTGAGTTCAGTCCCTGGGACTCACATGGTAGAAAGAAAGAATCAACTCCTGCAATTGTCCCCTGACTTTGCATGCTATGGCAGCGAGCTGCCCCCTCTCAATGTTATAAAAGTGTGGGGGGGGGGGCTTTAGAGATGGCTCAATGGGTTAAGAGCACTGACTGTTCTTGCAAGACCCGGGTTCAATTCCCAGCATTCACATGGTGGCTAACAACTGCCTGTAACTCCAGTTCCAGGGGATCTGACACCTTCTTCTGACCTCCGAGAGCACTGCACAACATGGGTACACTTACACAAATGCAGGCAATTCATTCATACACAGAAAAAATAAAAATAATTTTTTTAAAAAAAGTTGGGGAGAGGGAGTGAATTTTCACCTCTGCCCAGGGATATGATCTTGTGGTGTCACAGAGACCTGGAACAGGACCAGGTAGAGCCCATTTCCAAGTGAGGGAACCTGACACCAGCTAATTCTGATCCCTACACTTTTTGCTCATCTCCAGATGAGTGGCTTTGATATCAGGAGCCGCCTATGTCGCTTCATAGCTGAGGCGCCTCAAGAACTAGCCTTGCCTACAGAGGAAGCAGAGACACTGAGCACGGAGGCCTTTCGTCTATGGGCTGTGGCTGCCTTCTATGGTCAGGGTGGTGACCTTTACAGGTGAGGAGAGGTAGGAGATAGGCTTCCTTGTAAAGTCTTCCAGTTCTGTAGTGGGTCTGACTTGATGATTCAGACTTGTTCAAGTTTAAAGGGAAAACGCAAACAATGGAGAGGGGATTCTACTGGATATGCAATTGCCTGGGATTCAGGACCAGCTAGGGAGGAGAGGCGCACACATTGTTAACTGCATTTTGTGGCTAATGCATTAGTATCTTGGTGAAACCAGATGTCAATTCCCTTTGGGGGGCATCCTTCTGCTTTTTTTAGAACCTGGCCTTTTAAGTGTCCTAGTCCTGTGCCCCTCTCCCTTGTTACCCTCTTTCACCAGATTGCAGATTCTTCCTTGTGTCCTCATCTTGATCCCTCTTCATACAGTGAAGGTCAGTCATTGCTTTTCCCCAGGGAGCTGTATCCAGTGCTTATACAGGCCTTGCAGGCACTGCCGACAGAACTTGGCGCCTGTCCTCTACACCCACTGTCCATGCAGCGGATGGCTTCACTGCTCACTCTTCTCACCAAGCTGACCCTGGCAGCAGGCAGCACCCACCCTGAACCTATCAGGTAGGCTAGCTCCGAGTCTGCCAGCAGGCATGTCCAGCAGCAACCCCAGGACAGGCAGGAATGCTTCTCCACGGGGAGCAAGTGGCTGGAGCTTTAGGGAAGTGAGGCAGCCACGTTTTCACTTTTGCCCTTCTGGCACTCCTGCAGTCGCTCTTCTGAGGCCCATGTGTTGGCCACCACTTCCTCAATCACCTGGACGCAGGTGTCTGGACTTCAGCCACTGGTGGAGACGTGTCTAAGGCAGACTTTAAAGTTGCTGCCCAGACCTGACATATGGAATGCCCTAGGCCCAGTGCCCAGTGCCTGCTTGCTGTTCTTGGGTGCCTACTACCAGACTTGGAGCCAGCAGGTGAGTGCAGCCTACCTGACTCCCTCCATCTTTGCCCCGCAACTTGCTCTCATTCTGTCTCCACCTCTCCACTCCTGCCTTCCTTGTCCCACCTTTTCATATTCTCCCCTCCCCGCCACCTGCTTTATGTGGCTTTGGGTGTGGGTACAGATGTGATACTAAGAGTGGAACCCAGGGCCTCACACATGCTCAGCAGTTGCTCCACTACTGAGTTCTACCCTGAGCCCTATCCTCACCTTTAACTCCTACCTATCCTCTTCCTACTTCCATTATCCACTGGAACTTTCAGGGAACCATGTTGATGGGGACCAGAGATCCAAAGCAGTAGCTCAGCCTTGGTGCTTCCTCTTCATGCACCCCTAGACATTGTACACTAGGGCAAACTCAGGGCTGGCTCTCCTTCTGAAGAATCTGTCTGCAGAAGTTGCTAAACAGATTCTGTGAGGCGCTTGGCATGATGGGACTGACCAGGGTATATAGGACCAGGAAAATATATCTTGACCCATCAGCTCAGTGAGCCCCTTGGTCCTGCAGCCAAGCTTGTGCCCGGAGGACTGGCTTCAGGACATGGAGCACCTGTCAGAGGAGTTGTTACTGCCACTGCTGAGTCAGCCCTCTCTGGGAAGTTTGTGGGATTCCCTTAGGTATGTTCTGTGTGGGCAGCTGGGGGCATGTGTGGAAGAGGCAGTTCCTCTCCTATGGGACTCTGGGTCTAGTTCCCTGATGCACTCCAGGATGTGGCCCCTCAGAGATTTGAAGGAAACCTGAATCTCTGATAGGCAGCAACTCTGAGGGGCTCTGAGGAATGTAGACACTGATCTGCACAGCCAGGTCCCTACTCAGACCCATCAGGCCAGAGGCCTGTCAGCTTTTCCATTCCTCCTGCAGGCACTGCTCCCCTGTCTGCAATCCACTGACCTGTGCTCCAACTCCTGAGGCTCTCCCCAGCCTGGTGTCACTGGGCTGTGCAGGAGGCTGTCCCCCTCTCAGTGTGGCTGGCACAGCCTCACCCTTCCCATTCCTCACTGCCCTCCTCTCTCTTGTCAACATTCTGGTCCGGATTCACAAGGGGCTTTGTGGACAGGTAAGCTGGATACCTGCTTAGAAACCAGGCAGGGGGATAAAATGGCAAAAGTTCGAAAATGGGAGGGGTATATCCAGAAGAAGGACGGCCTCTTGCCCGCACTCATTTTTCTGAGTGGCTGGGAGGTGGCAGCTACCCAGGGAACCCCAAAACATCAGAGTTGATTTCTAGGTATGAATTAACTTGATTCCTCAGATGGCTGCTGTGTTGGCTGCCCCAGGACTCCAGAACTACTTTTTCCAGTGTGTGGCTCCCAGGCCTGCCCCACAGTTCACACCCTTCTCTGCCTGGGCCCTGCGCCATGAGCACCACCTGCAGTACCTGGCACTCTCCCTGGCCCAGAAAGTGGTGAGTCCCTGTCTGCAGTCAGCCCCTATCCAGTTTTCCTCCTGCCTCTCAGTCACCTGAGCTGCTTCTGCCAGGCCATGCAGTTCCTACGGTAGTCCATATGCACTGGGTCGTCTTCCACCTTCTCTATGTCTTCTTCCTCACTGTTCTCTGCTTTGTATCCTCCCTGCACTAACTAATGCCCTGTCTTTCCTCCACAGGCAACATCTCAGCCAGAGCCAGCCACCAATGCCCTCTACCACTCTATGGCCTTGGCCCTACTGAGCCGGCTACTTCCTGGAAGTGAGTACCTTGCCCAAGAGCTACTGCTGAGCTGTGTGTTCCGGCTGGAGTTCCTCCCGTAAGTCCATGGATTTCAGCAATCAGATATTCAACTCTCTTGGATGCTTCTGAGTTTGTTAACCAAGCAGCAGCATCTTGGAGCCAGAAAAACTAGACTTGATTTTCTATCATGTATTAAACTTAACCTGCTATTTCCTTAGTAAAGTGAAGATGAGGCCACTCATCTCCATCCCACCCGGGGATGATTGTGAGACTTTAGTATGACTGTGTGTCTAAAGAACAGTACTTACATAAGCTAGGGATATAGTTCAGCAATAGAAAAACTGCCTAGCATGAGTGAGACCTAATTCAAGAGGGTACCCTAGTATGGTGATGCACACTTGTAATCCCAGCTCTTGGGAGGTGGTAGCAAGCATGTCAACAGGTCAAAACCAGTCTTCTCTATTTATGAAGTTTGAGACTATCCTGGGCTACATGAGAATGAAACTGGATTTTGTTGTTGTTATTGTTGTTGTAAGGATCTAGGTGTGGTGGCACACCTGTAATCCCAGCACTCTGGAGGCAGAGGCAGGAGATTCAGGAGTTGAAGGATAACCCCATTCACATAGTAAGTTTGATATGACCCTGTGCTACATGAAACTGTCTCAAAAACAAAAAAAAAGTCTATGCATATAGTCTTTACTATATGGGGCCCTGTCCAGAATACAGAATACCCTTAGGTACTTATCCGTATTTTAAGTGTTTTACCTGGGCCACAAGGTAGATACTGTTGCAGTCGCTGGTTTACAGCCAGAAATCCAATGCAGAAGTTTAGATGAACTTGCACTCTTGCACTGTGGTGGCTGGTTCCAGCATCCTTTTTTTTTTCTCTTTTTGAGACAGGTTTCCCTATAGCCACAGCTGACCTGGAACTAACTATGTAGACCAGGCTGGCCTCAAACTCACAGAGATCTGCCTGCCTCTGCCTCCCAAGTGCTGGGTTTAAAGATGTGCACCACCATACCCAGCTTCAGCATCTGTTCTCTTAACTGCTATGTAACATGGTGTGAGAAGTGGGCAGGGGAGCAAAAAGGAGCAGGATTGAATTAGGAGCATCTGAGAAGCCCTAGAGAGCTGGTATGGCCTTCTGGGTGCTGTGGTTCCAGCTCTCATTCTTGGCTTTTGGGTCCTGTTACAGGGAAAAAGCATTAGGGGGTCCAGAGGCAGCTGACTTCTCCGATGGACTGTCCCTCAGGAACAGTGCGGACCCTCACTGTGGACGAGGGGCTCTCCTACTTCAGGCATGCCAGGACCTCCCCAGCATCCGCAGCTGCTACCTGACCCACTGTTCACCAGCGAGAGCCAGCCTGCTGGCCTCCCAGGCTTTATACCGTTGGGAGCTTCTGCGAGTCCCAAGCTTGCTACTCCCTGTGCCTAAGGAGCCATTGCTGCCCACTGACTGGCCCTTCCAGCCACTGATTCATCTCTACCACCAGGCTTCAGACACTCCCTCTGGACTACCTCCCACTGACACTGTGGGCACTGCCATGCGGGCCCTACAGTGGGTGCTACTTTTAGAGAGCTGGCGCCCAGAGGCCCTCTGGGCTGTACCTCCTGCTGCCCGGCTGGCCCGGCTTATGTGTGTGTTCCTGGTGGACAGTGAGCTATTCCGAGAGACCCCCATACAGCATCTGGTTGCAGCTCTTGTAGCCCGGATCTGTCAGCCTCAAGTCCTGCCAAGCCTGAACCTGGACTGCCCACTTCCTGGCCTAACATCTTTTCCTGACCTCTATGCTAGCTTCTTAGACCATTTTGAAGCTGTCTCTTTTGGGGACCACCTGTTTGGGGCTCTGGTCCTCCTTCCCCTACAACGTCGATTTAGTGTGACCTTGCGCCTTGCCCTCTTTGGGGAGCATGTGGGAGCCTTGCGGGCTCTTGGCCTGCCTCTGACCCAGGTACTTTCTCAACCCAGCAGGGCCTGCCAAGGACCTGAGCAGTGGGGAGCTTTGGTGGGCCTCAGATTCCTCACCTTACCTCTTGGGGGCTTTTAGGGTATTAGGAGTGTGGTACAGAATGAGAAGGGTTTGCCATAGTATCTGGCATATAGTTAAATATTCATATTATTAACAAAGTATGGCTTCTTGTTTGTAACTACTATACAGTCTAGCTAAAAGATTTGCTAAAAACTATACTTCTGAGTTACTTGGGTTCTAAGTATGTTAAGTCAGGACTTAGAGAAGGGAAAGATCAGAGTGCACTGCCCATAAGGAAAACGTGTTGTGGAGGAAATACTGATCTGGCACTGAAGGTTGGGTAGAATTTGAATTGTTTGCTGGTCTTGGTGGCACACACCTTTAATCCCAGCAGAGGCAGGTGGATCTCTGTGAGGTCGATTTCCAGGCCAGGGAGACCCTGTCTCCAAAAAAAAAAAAAATTGAATTGTTCAAGCGATATGAGTGCCAGATGTTCCTGGTGAAAGGAACATAGGTGAAAGCTCAGAGGCAAGAAGGATCATAATGGTGCTGCAGAGAGAGAGGTTTCTGTGGAAAGCTTATCGGAAACAAGGCAAAGTCCTAAAGGATGATCAGGCTGAAGAGTTAAAATCATAAATTGTCAAGGGAGATAGGCCTATAATCCCATTCTCTCAGGAGCTAAGGTAGGAGAATTGCAATTTCAAGGCCACTGTGGGCTGTTTAAAGCAGGCCAATCTAGGGTACAGAGCCAGACACACACAAAATATGGGATGAGGATGGGCTGGGAATGTAGCCCAGTTGATAGCGAGCCCTGGGTTTGATCCCTAATACCACATAAACAGAGTAGGTAACACACACTTAGGATGCTGAGACAGGAGGATTATGAAGAGTTCCAGGCTGGCCTGGGTTACAAAGTAAAACCCTGTCTTTAAACACACATCCACACAAAACACAAAAAGAAAACAGAATAAAACTATTTTAACACATAAATGCATCATGTATAAATATATTTGTATATAAAAAGTACTAAAAAGGGAAATATATTTTTAGGAATTAAAAAGAACATAACTGTTGCAGGGCTGAGAATATATGTAGTTCAGTATTAGAGCACTGTGAGCATGTGCAAGACCATAGGTTCCATTCCATACTCAGCAAGAGAGTGGGGTGGGGTGGGAATGAATGAACTTGAGATATAAACAGAGGATGATCAGGAGTTCTAAGCTATCCTTAGCTACATAGTGAATTTTAAACCATCCAGGAATAAGACCCTGCCTTAGAAAAGAAAAAGAAAAGAATATTATGTTGGGACTGGGGAGATGGCTCAGCAGGTAAGTGAACTTGCTGTATAAGTATGAGGACTTGAGTTCAAATCCCCAGCACCCATGAAAAAAGCCAGGCCATGTGCACTAGTAACCCCAACACCATGGAGAGTAGAGACAGGATCACAGGGGCTTACCGGCTGCCAGCCTAGCTCCTGGTTCAGTGAAAGACCCTGCCTCAGAGGAGTATGCCAGAAAATGATAGAACAGAATAACTGATAACCTCTGGTCTCAGCACCTGCAGGTATGCATGCTCATGCACACATGTGCATATACTACGTGCACACCAATACACACCTGAGTATACTCAAGAATTACAGACATGTTCCTCCACTTCCATCTTACTGGTTGGCAACTGTTTTCTTTACACACATACACATACACACACACACATATGTTAATTTTTTTAAAGATTTTTTTTTTTTTTACAGGACTGGAGAGATAGCTCAGGGATTAAGAGCACTGACTGCTCTTGCAAAAGACCCAGGTTCAGTTCCCAGCACCCACATGGAGGCTAACAACTGTCTGTAACTCCAGCTCCAGGGGATCTGACATCCTTCTGACTTCCTCTGATATTGCATGACATGGGTATAGTTACACAAATGCAGACAAAACACTCATACACATAAATCAAAAAAAAATTTTTAAGATTTTTTTACTATTTTATGTGTATGACAATTTGCTGGCGTGTATATATTTGCATCATGTGCATGCCTGGTGCCTATGGCTGGGAGTTGAACCTTGGTCCTCTGCAAGAGTAGCAAATGTTCTTAACAAGGTTGAGCCATCTCTAACCCTATATATACATACATACATACATATATTAATATTTTATTTATTTATTTATTTGGTATTCTTGAAACAGGGTCTCCCTGCATCCCCAGCTGCCCTGGAACTCACTATGTAGACCAGGCTAGCCTTGAACTCATAGAGATCCGCCTGTCTCTGCCTCCCAAGTGCTGGGATTAAAGGAATATTTTATTATTTTTATTTTATATGTATGAATGTCTTGCCTGCATGTTTGTAAGTGCACCTATGTTGTGCAATGCCCACAGAGGTGAGAAGAAGACCTTGGATCCCCTGGAACTGTAGTTATGGATGGTTGTTAGGCACCATGTGGGTGCTGGGAATCAAGCCTGGGTCCTCTAGAAGAGCAGCTAGTGCTCTTTACTGCTGAGCTATCATATATTTTTATAAAACAAATTACTGCATAGAATTTTTCACTTAACATTACATAATAAGTATTTCTCATCATTAAATACCAAAAAAATCAATACCCTTTTTTGTGTGATGCTGGAAATTAACCCAGGGCCTCATGCATGCTAAGCAAGTACTCTGCCTCTAAGCTGTGCCCCAGCACTGCCCTTTGGGCTTTAGCTTTCATCCATGTGTTAGAGAAGGATGGGAGTCTTTTAAGACCTGATCTCTGCCCTCATGATTTGTTTTTATGTGTCCATTGATGCATATGTTCACTCTCCTCCTCAGTATATCATTTCCCCCACCACAGTTGCCTGTGCCCTTGGAATGCTACACAGGACCTCCTGAAGACAACCTGGCCCTTCTTCAGCTCTACTTCCGAGCCCTGGTTACTGGTGCTCTCTGTCCACGTTGGTGCCCTGTGCTCTACGCTGTGGCAGTGGCTCATGTCAATAGCTTCATCTTCTCCCAGGACCCAAAGAGCTCAGTAAGTTACATCCCTATCTTCAGAGGGAAGGATAGAAGGGACTGAGTTGCATTTGGGCCAACTGGGAGGAGGAGAGGGTTAAGCAGTCGGACCAGTCCTTGGCTTAGTGCCACCTCTCCCTGTTTTGCTCCTAGGATGAGGTGAAGACTGCCCGAAGGAATATGCTGCAGAAAACTTGGCTGCTGGCAGATGAGGTAGGATTGGAGTCATTAGGAGGGTAGGAGATAAGGTTTAAGGGACAGAACCTCAACCGACTCTCACTATCCATTTCATAAAATTTCTTTTCAGGGTCTGCGGCAGCACCTCCTCCACTATAAGCTTCCCAATTCCAGCTTCCCAGAGGGGTTTGAGCTGTATTCCCAGTTACCTCCCCTGAGGCAGCATTACCTCCAGACACTGCCCTCAGGTGTGCTCCAGAATGGAGTATCCAAGACCTAGGACAGTTGCCACCATCCAGAGATGGATACATTCTCCTGGGGCTTGCCAGTGGATGTCTGTTCATACAGAAGGGCTTCTGTCACTGGGAAAGCAGGGGACAGGAACCCAGGGCTGCCTTCCTGAGAATATACTGTTTGAGCCTGTTTTAGAACAGAACATGTCTGCTATTAGAACTTGATACTGGAGCTCTGGGTCTGGGGCCTCTGAGGGTCTGTACTAGGAGTGAAGGGTGGCTTAGCTATTCAGTCCCTCTGGGGACAAATCAGTCTAAGTAGACCTCACCTACCTCCAGTCCTCACCCAGGCCAGGGGATACGAATGCTATGCTGTGCATTGAAATAAATACTTTTCTAGTCTGGCTGATCTGGACTGGTTTTACTCATGTTTAGAGTTGGTATCAAGGGAGAGAGGGGTGGGGAAGAATCACAATGGGAGGTAAAAACAGTCTAGGGGACTAGAGAAATGACTCAGCAGTTCAGAGCACTTGCAGAGGACCCAGGTTCAGTTCCCAGCATCCACATAGCACCACACAACCTTCTTTAACTCCAGTTCCAAGGGATCCAATGCCTTCTGGCTTCTTCAAGCAGCTGGCACATATGGTGTACTTACATACATGCAGGCAAACACCCATATACATAAAGTAAAATTAAGTAAATCTATAAGAAAAAAGAAACTCTACATCTGGAGACAGCAAGCGTAAGGATCCTGGAAGTTTCTGAGTGCTGGCAGCAATGCTCTTGGGAGTGGGAGTGCTTCTGGAAGGACTCTGCAGTCTAGTAGAAGTACAGGTGCCAATGAGGCCAAAAATCAATCTGCTGCAGTAGCTGTCCTATATCACCATTCCACTTAGGCTCTCCTCGGTAGGACAAGGACTGGGAGAAATCAAAGTATAAGCTATGTCTTTATTTTATTAATCAATTTTATTTTATTTATTTGGAGACAGGGTGTCCCTGTAGTCCCAGCTGGAACTCACTAGGTAGACCCAGGTTGGCCTCGTTTCACAGAAATCTCCCTTCCCCAACCTCCTGAGTGCTGGAATCAAATCAAAGGTGTGCACCACCACACCTGGCTTTATTTATTTATTTTAAGACTTATTTATAGATTGGTGTGGTGGTGCAAGCCTTTAATCCCAGCATTCGGGAGGCAGAGGCAGGTGGATCTCTGTGAGTTCAAGGTCACCCTTGTCTACAAAGCAAGCTCCAGGTCAGCTGGGGATACAGGGAGACCTTGTCTCAAAAAAAGACCAAAATAAAAAAGTACCAATCAAAATGTATAATGTTAACTGGGTGTTGTGGCTAACACTTTTAGTCCCAGCACTCAGGAGGCAGAGGCAGGCAAACCTCTGTGAGTTCAAGGCCAGCCTGGTCTCCATAGTAAATCCAGGCCAGCTGGGGCTACAGGGAGACCCTGTCTGAAAAAGATCTAAAATATATATATACACTGTTATGTGTAGGAGAAAAGAAAGCAAAAAGATATAAAAGACTGAATTTTTCTCTGTGCAGGGCCATGCTTTAGATAATTATCTCAGGGACTAAACTGGTACAATATACAGCTTCCCGCTGGGCCTTGGAGTCCTGTTTTTTTGTTAGGTGTTGGGAGTTTGTTCAGAAATTGGAAATGGTGAATTGCACCTCCTTTGTCACTGGAGTGCCAGTTTCCATGGAGTGCTGGGAGTGGTAACTCACCTGGGTATCAATGGACTACTTGATCCATAGAAGACTCACACTTCTGGTGTGCCACAGGAAAAGACCTTGGTAGCACAGTGGACCTGATGGGCACAGGAATCAGTTCAGGGAAGTACTCATCAGTTCTAGTAAAAATCTGTCAATTTGGTTTTGGTTTTCCTTGCCAGTGAGCAGAAAGAAGGCTTGATCACCCTTCAAAGTTTTGTAACTGCCAAGTACTAGCAGGGGAAAGAGACAGAAATGAAGTTTCATAGTGATTTCTAGAGACTAGGCACTGGGAGGAGGTTGGAGGTATGTGTGTGTATGTGAATGAGACAGATAACAAGAGAGTTGTGACTCAACAACCTTATACCTTGTTCACTGTGAAATAGAGGCTGGCCTGGTCTTCTACATAGTGAGTTCTAATTCAAAAAGACTGTCTTCTACTGCTAGTGGAGTATTCAGGGCACCTCCAACAGGAGACTCCATGTCAAGGCTGAAACCAACAGGGAAGCAGACAAGGAAGCACCTCAAAGTTGGGGTGGAATCAATGCACTTGCTCTCACCAGGAGGGCCATTGGAAAACAAGCAAATGACCTCAGCAGCTGCAGAACGAGAGAATGCTCCTATGGTCTGTCAAGGTCAGAGGGAGAAGTCAGGTGATCCAAGGGTAGCACCAACCTGGACAGAAGGAATGTAGGGTCCCAGAGGATGAGGGCATGGGCCTAGCCACCATGGAGAACTAGGAGGAAGATTAGTACACACCAGGCTCCATTTTGTTGGGCTCTTAGAGGCCTATGAACCAAATGACAGTAGGAGACCAGCCTGTGGACTTTATGGTAGATACCAGGGCTACATATTCAGTGGTGAGCCAGCCTGTGTGTACCCCCTACAATTCTACCATTGTGGGGGCCATAGGTAACAGAGCCCATCACCCCTTTTTGCTGTTCAGATAGTGTAATCTAGGAGACCACAAGGTAATTCATGAATTCCTATATCACCCTGAGTGCCCTGTGCCTTTATTGGGATGATGTTTGCTGGGAAAGCTATAGACCCAAATAACTTTCAACTTACAAGAACAAGCTACTCTAACCCTAGGAAAATTTGAGGCAAAAATCCTGACTCTTAGTGTCCCTCGAGAAGAGGAATGGCACCTCTTTACCCTTAGAGAGAAGCCACTGCTGGGGCCAGAACTTCCCTTTAAGGTTCCTGGGGTGTGGGCTGAAGACAGTCCCCCAGAGCTGGCCTGAAACACACCCCCAATAATAGTGGAATTAAAGCCAAGGGCCAAGCCCACCTGTTAAAGCATGGAACGTTCTAACCTTGCCAGTTACCTTGGAACACACCTCTCCTACTGGTATAAAAGCCACAGACAATTATCAGCTGGTCCAGCTGAACAGAAAATCAGGCCACTGTCTCTAAACACTCAGTTATTCCCAACCCTTACACACTCTTGGGTCTCATCCCTGCTGGGGCCACTTTCTTTACATGTTTAGATGTAAAGATGTTGCCTTCTGTATCCGCTTGCCCCCCCCCCGGCCCCCGAGTTAGCTGATCTTTGATTTCCAATCGGAAAATCCTGAAAATGGTGACAAGGGTCAGTTGACATGGAGATTTCCTCAGGGTTCTAACCCCCCAACCACTTTTGGCACCGCTCTGGCCACTGTTCTGAAAGTTTTGCCAGCAGACCAGCATATGTAGAAGACCCACTACTGACTGGCACAGCAAAGGAGTCTTTATAAAATCAAGTCTGTGGCTACAATTAGCATTATCACTCAGACTTTAAGTAGCTAAACCACTAGTCATAAACTGTGTTCAGGTGTTTCATATTAAACAGAGACCTCCATCTTTAACTTATTTTAATCTAAAATGTAGTTATTGGAATGTTTTCTCACTTATCTTGATTTGGGGTGCTTTTAGTACTGCTTCCTTCTGAAGCACCCTTCAGTAAGCTTCTCCTCCTGTGGGCTGGCATACGACAGTGGAGCAGCCAACACAGAAAATGACTTTTTGTGGGGCGGTTCATATTAGTGCACGTCTTTAATCCCAGCACTCACTAGGAAAGCAGAGGCAGATGGATCTCTGTGAGATCAAGGCCAGTCTGGTTTACACAGTAAGTTCCAGGCCAGCTGAGACTACATAGAGACCCTGTCTCAAAAAAATGAAAACAAAGCTATCTTTATGCATGGCTAAAGGCCATGGTGATTTTATAGCGTCCTGGGCATTTCACAGGCATGAAGTACAAACTGGGGCTGTGCACCAGGCACTGCTTCTTGTGTTTCCTCTTCTCTTCTAGAGAGAGATCCTTTGGGAAAGGCATGTTCTAAGGAGGTCATCAGTGCTGGAAAAGCATATTTTTCTTCTTTTTGTGACAAAATTTCACTCTGTAGTTCAGGGTGTTCTGGAACTTAATATGTTGCCCAGACTGGCTTTGAACTCAGAGTAATCCTCTTGCTTCAGCCTTCTACATGTTGGAATTACAGGCATGAGCTACCACACCCAGCTTAAACTTAGCATTTTGAGCAAAAGAGGACATAGCTGGGTGTGGTGGTACACGCTAGCCCATCCCAACACTTGGGGGGGCAGAGGCAGGCTGATCTCTTTGAGTTTTAGGTCAGAACATAGAGAGTTCCAAGCCAGCTAGAACTACATAGTGAGACCCTATCTCAAAAAAAAAAAAAAAGGATTGTACAAAACCACCTGAAAGCTAATCCAAGTGGCCCTCTCAAGTGTATGGATAGCTTTTTATTTACTGTTTTCTTTTTATTTTTTATGTGTATGCGTGTATTGCCTGCATGTAGGTAAGTACACCTGTGTCGTGCAATGCCCAAGGAGGTAGAAGAGGCTGTTGGATCCCCTGGGTCTGGAGTTATGAACAGTAGTTAGCTGCCATGTGGGGGCTAGGATTCAAACCCGGGTCTTCTGCAAGAACAACCAGTGTTCTTAACTGCTGAGCCATCTGTCCAGCCCTATTTTGTTTTCTTATCAAAGGTATTTAACACCACACCCAGGCTATAGGTGTCTTGTGGTTTTCAAAGCAGTTTCCCTTAATGTGATTTTGCAGGTGGTGGAAATACCTTACTGTCTCAAGAACAGTTGTTGTGCTACTTGTACCAGCACTTGCATCTTCTAACTTTTTTTTTTTTTTTGAGACTGGTCTCATATAGCCTAGGCTGGACTCCAACCTGATAGGCAGCAGAGGATAACCTTGAACTCTGGGTCCTCTTGTCTCCTCTTTCCAGGTGCTGGATTAGAGGTATGAGCTACCCTATCTGGGTTTTTTGACATCTTGTCCAGTCATGGTAGAAGTTGTGCACAGGATAAACCGGGCAATGGAACTGTGAGCCTTAACCCAGAAATCCATGTGTCTGAGGATATCAGGGAGGTTCCACCTTGCAGTCAGAAAGGCGTTGAGAGTCACAAGCAGCGACAAGCAAGGATAACTTACAGTTAAGGAGTGAACACAGGCTGCTACCTCAAAAGAATAGGGTAAAGGCAACCTCCTCCCATATCTCTAACCCATTCAAGTCACTACGGTGGCCAGCGGGAGACCCAGAGGCTGGAGCAGAGAGCCCCTCCCGGAAGCTTGGGGACCTCTCTGCCCACATGCCCCGCCTTTTCCTCGTCGGCTTCCTGGGGTCTGGAGTGGGCGTGGCTAGTCTGGTTTAAGGTCTGCTGGGCAGTGGGGATGGCTCAGAGATTGTTGGACACGCCCATGAACTGCAGCCAGACCCTCGAGCCTTGAGCCATCAGCTTTAGTTGAACAGACTGACGGATCAGATCAGGCGATGGCCTGCTTCCACAGGCTGCTGTTGTGGCTAGGAGCTGCGGGTAAGTGCTGCCTGGCGGTAAAGGAGTCAGCCAACCAGACGCACCTTTCTAGACTTGCGGTTGCGTTCAAGACAGATCCTGTCGCAGTGGTTGCTTCCGAGGTCTCGAACCAAAGCTCTTTGATCCCTGCTTCTAGAATGCAACGAGAAAAGCTCAGTGCGCGCCCATATCTGAGCCTCAGATCGCGCAATTTGGGAAGGACAAGCCCTGGGGAGTAGGGACACCAGTCTAAATGGAGGAAAGGGGCGGGGGTGTTGCAGGACACAGCTCGGTGCAGCCCCCAGGTCATTCAGTGGGAAGGATTCTGGAGAGGAGAAACCGCTGTATGAGGGTACCTGATGGGGCCCGGGCCACCGAGTTGGACTGACGCCCGCTTCCAGGCTCTGTTGAGCACCGGCTGGCGGCGTTAGGGGTGTGGCCGCAAGCAGCAAGGACCTGCTATTGAGTGGCTATCTATCTCTTGTGTCTCCTGTCTTCACATCCTGCGCCCTCTCCCAACGCCCTCGGCCTCCCTCTAATCGTTCAGGAGCCATTCTTTGCTCCAGTTCGGGGTCCCAGGCGCCTTTTCAGACATCCGCGCCCTTGCAGCTGCTAACCCCGAGCTCCTGGGACCAGAAAGTCACTCCTACGCCCCATGAATTGGAGCCAGCCTCCCTCCCAAATCCTCTAGGTGAGCTTCAGGTTTCTCCATTTGCCCACTATCCCCAGATCCCTAGGTCTGGTCAGGGACTCAACGACTCCTTCTTTCTTGTTCCCAGATGGGGAGGGGCCTTGGGTGTTCAACACCTGTGGGGCCAGCGGTCGCCGAGGACCAACACAAACCCAGTGCGACTGGGCATATGCAGGGAGCAGCGTGGCGGTGACAGTGGGGCCCTCCGGGCCGCTGAGAGGCGTGCAGCTGTGGCGGGTGCCAGACACCGGCCAGTATCTGTGCGTGCTTGACGAGGTCACCCTGCTAGGCCGAGGTTCTACAGTCGGGGAGGGAGGGCCGGGTGCCACACCACTTTGCACTTTGCATCGAAGTGATGTCTAGTGCTGGCTGCTAGACTACCTCTCCTTCCAGTGGAAGTGCCTTCGGGAAGACTGGCAGCAGTGAGGGAGTTAGCGGGTATCCGGGATCCCTTTACCGCAGACAAAACGGCCCTGAGCTTCTCTCCATCTCCATTAACACTCCTGCCTAATTGTAAACCGTCTTCCCATCTCTTTTCGGTCAATGGCAGTCTCTAGGTCCCATAGCTTTCCAGCTACCTGTCTCTAACTTTTGCCAGGGAGGCCTGGTGAAGGGAGGAGACTCCACGTCCTCCCCCCCTCCCCGTACCCCCCGTAGGATCTCAGCCTACGGAGCCGCGGGCGGCAAAGGCGCCAGGAACCACCTGTCGCGGGCGCACGGTGTCTTCCTCTCGGCGGTCTTCTCCCTTAGACGTGGGGAGCCGCTGTACATCCTTGTGGGGCAGCAGGGCGAGGACGCCTGTCCCGGAGTAAGCGCAGCCAGTTGGAAAGGGGTGTCCCGGAACTAGGGCGGGGTCCTTGGTGCCTGGACACCCGCATATCCAGCGGAGGGTCCACGTCCGCGCCGATTGATTTCCAGTGGGTGCCACGCAGGGGAGCCCAGAGAGCCATCTCGTCTGCCTGGGAGAGTCTTGGGCCGCCGAGGAGCACGCGGCCAGAGATGGGACCGAAAGGGCCCGGAGCTGGGCTGGCGGGGGCGGCGGCGGCGGGGGCGCCACCTACATTTTCCGGGTAGGTGCTCCCGAGCGCTGGCCGCCCCAGCCCACCGCTCGGCGATGGGGTCCAGGTCCTCTTCCCCGAGCGCACGGATCGGCAACGGGGTCCGGGTCCGCTCCCCCGAGCGCACGCTCCTCTAAGTCCCAGCGGGTTCGGATCCACTCGGGCGCGGCGCCTGGGCCTCACCCCGGGACAGGTGCTCCAGTCGGGCGGTGGCCCTCTATTACTGGGGCACGCCCTTGACTCGCCCCCGCCCCTAGCTGCACTCGGGGAAGCGGGAGCCACTGCTGGTGGCCGCTGGAGGCGGCGGGAGGGCCTACTTGAGGCGACCCGACCGCGGCTGGACTCAGGCGGCCGGGCAGAAACTGGAGAAGCGCTTGGCTGCACCCGGCAGCGGCGGGAGAGGAGGCCCGGCAGGTAAGCGCAGGGCGGTGGGGAGAGCCTGCTGCTTCGCACCACAGCCGCCAACCACCCGCTGTCGCTTCGCAGGTGGAGGGGGCGGCTGGACGTCGCACCCCCCTTCTCCGCAGGCCGGCCGCTCCCTGCAGGAAGGGGCAGAGGGCGGCGAGGGCTGCTCAGAGGCCTGGGCAGCAATCGGCTGGGCCGCAGCGGGCGGCTTCGGGGGTGGCGGCGGGGCATGCACCGCGGGAGGCGGCGGTGGAGGCTACCAGGGTAAGTGTGCCCTTGGGGGGAGTTGAGGGTGATGGTTTATGTCAGTTGTTTCAAAGTGTGGTCACCACAGAAGCTGTTAGAAATACAAAGTCAGGGGGCTGTAGAGATGGCTCAGCAGTTAAGAGTACTGGCTGCCCAAGTTCAGTTCCCAGCACCAACCTCTGTTGCTCACAATCTCCTGAAACTCCAGCTGAAGGGGAGCACCTGCACTCCACACACACACATAATTAAAAATATGTATGTGAGTGCACCCGTGTTGTGCAATGCCCCGGAGGTCAGAAGAGGGCTTCGGATTCTCCTGGAATTGGAGTTAAAGACGGTTCATAACCATCATGTGGATGCTGGGAATCGAACCCGGGTCCTCTGCAAGAGCAGTCAGTGCTTTTAACCGCTGAGCCATCTCTCCAACCTCAGCCCTAAGTAAAATATTTTTTAAAAAAGAAATACAGGGAGCTGGAGAGACGACTCCATGATTAAGAGTACTGGTTGTTCTTGCAGAAGAACACCCACATGGCAGCTAACAACCGCCCATAACTCCAGTTCCAGGGGATTCAACACTCACTTCTGTGCTCTGTGGATATTGCACTACACAGGTGCACTTACACACATCCAAACAATACACTCATACACATAAAATAAAAATAAAAATAAAAAAATTTTAAGCACAAAAAAGAAATACAATTCAGTGTTGGGGTTAGGGAGATGTTGGTCAAATATTTTGAAAATTTTAAGGGGTTGGGAATTTAGCTCAGTGGTAGAGCGCTTGCCTAGCAAATGTAAGGCCCTGGGTTCAGTCCTCAGCTCCAGAAAAAAAAAAAAAAAACAAGGCAAAAAAATTTAATAAGGAGATATAAATTTAAGATATCCTTAGTTCAAGCCAGGTGTAGTGGAGCTTGCCTTTAATCCCAGCACTTGGGAGGCAGAGACAGACAAATCTCTGTGAGTTCAAGGCCAGCCTGGTCTACATAATGAGTTCCAGGCCAGCTGGGGCTACAGGGAGATGCTGTTTCAAATATACCAAAAAGGAGGAGAAAAAAGAGGAAGGAGAAGAGGAAGAGGAAGAGGAGGAAGAGGAAGAAGAAGGAGGAGGAGGAGGAGAAATATTTAGTTCAGTATGGAGGCTACAATTAATCAATTAATAACAATGCTTTGGGTTTTGTCAGCAAAAGAGAGCAAACAAGAATGGGAGTCAATATTTGCTGTGCTTAGGGGCACACACCTTTAATCCCAGTACTTGGAGGCAGAGGCAGGTGGATCTCTATGAATTTGAGGCCAGCATGGACTACATAGTGAGTTCCAGGCCAGCTGTGGCTACAGGGAGACCCTGTCTCAAAACCAAATAAAAGAAAAAAGAAAAAAAGAATGGGGATCAAACCCAAGGCCTCAGACATACTACACCCCTAACCCTAATAACTACATTCTTGAAAATGGCTAAGAGAATAGATTTGAAGTGTCTTACTACAAAAAATAAGTGAATGGTGCATATGTTGATTTTCACAATGCATACACATTTCAAGGAATCATACTATACACAATAAGAATATATAATTTGTGAAAAACTAATTAATTACTGGGGCTGGAGAGATGGCTCAGTGGTTAAGGGCACTGGTTGCTCTTACAGAGGACCCCAGTTCAGTTCTTAGCACTCACATGGCACCTAAGAATGGTTCATAACTCCAGTTCCAGGAGATTGTAAGTGCACAACACAGATGCACTTACATACATGCAGACAAAATACCCATACACATAAGACAACAACAAAAATAAATAAATAAGGGGCTGGAGAGAGGGCTCAGCGGTCAAGAATACTGGTGATTCTTGCAGAAGACCTGGGTTCCATCCCAGCACCCACATGGCAGCTAACAACTGTCTGTAACTCCAGTCCCAGGGGATCCGACAGCCTCTTCTGACCTCCGTGGGCATTGCACAACACAGGTGCACTTACCTACATGCAGGCAATACACGCATGCACATAAATTAAAAATAATAAATACAATTAAAAAATAAAAAATAATTACTGTAATTAATTTGAAAGATAAAGCGTTGCCAGTCTGCAAAACAGAGACTCCAGGGGAGGGTCCCAGCCATCTGTTTGCTTTGTTTTGTTTAGTCTTTTTGAGACAGGGTCTCCCTGTAGCCCCAGCTGGCCTGGAACTCATAGACGAGGCTAGCCTTGAACTCACAGAGATACTCCTGCCTCTGCCTCCTGAGCGCTGGGATTAAAGGGATGTGCCACCACACCCCCAGCCCTCTGTTTTAATTGGTCCTAAGATGCTCCAGAGTTTGAGGACTATGGGTGTAAAGAACCAGGGCTTTGTGTTTATTTGGACAAAATGTTCATAAAAACTATAACACAACACATATCGTCTGTGTTCTCATGGACATGGAATGTGTAGGCTGTCCCTCTCCCGTTTCAGAGCTTAGGACATGGGTCTAGAGGGGTTCAGACAGACAAGGGGCATCCCAGCCAGCCTGGGCCAGGTCTTCAGGATCCAGCAGATCAGTCAGTCCTCAAACTAGCTCCTCAGCCCTTATATGGGAGCCTCAATATAGGGGAGGCCACACCAGGATTTCCACTGGGAGACTGTGGCTTTCCACTCTTCATAAGAAAGCTTCCCAGCTGTGAGGCAGCTGTGTGCTCCTGACTCACCAACCCCTTCTTGTAATTAATCACCCTCAATTTCCAGGAGGTGACACTTCAGAGTCTGACATCCTCTGGGCTGATGGGGAAGATGGGGTATCCTTCATACACCCCAGGAGTGAGCTCTACCTACAGCCTCTGGCAGGTATTGACCCCAGTTCCCCACCTCTCAGCTTGGCCAGCCATCCTCCTTAATCCCTGGATGTACCACCATAGTTACCATCTGCTCTGTGCTGGGAGCTACCAGATTCTTCCCCAGCACAGGAACGTTTGGGAAATGTCTGTGAGTTGTGATTCTGGGTCATTCTAGACTGTTGGTCAAGTGTCCTTTGCTATGAGTTCTTTCCAAATACCTTGGGGCTCAAGGGTCCCAGAAGTGGCACTGTAGATGCTTGACAGAAGTCCCCAGGGAGAGTCAGCAAGATGGCTCATGGGGTAAAGCACTTATATCCCTAGCCTGACAACTGGAGTTCGATGCCTGGAATCTGTGGTGGAAGAAGAGAACTGAACCTTGAAAGTTGCCCTCTGACTTCGACACAATTGACCCCGCCCCATGCACAAAAGAAATAAAATCAATTAATAAAAAGAAGTTGCGCCCCCCCCCCCCAGACTCTCTCACTACCCTGAGTGCTCAGTGTGCTTGGCACTGCTCTTTATCCTGAACTCCTGAATTGAATTAACCATAAGGCTGGAAAGTTGTGTGTGTCTCTATACCCCATCCCTACTCCCCACCCCTACCCCACCATATCAGTTCTTTTACTCAGTCACAGAAAGCCATGGAGAGGTTGAGATCCGAAGGCACCTCAATTGCAGTCATTGCCCTTTGAAAGACTGCCAGTGGCAGGCAGAGCTCCAGATGGCTGAATGTATATGCCCAGAGGGCATGGAGCTAGCTGTGGATAGCATCACTTGCATGGGTATGTCTTGCCTTTGCCCTCAGGTGACAGGATGGCAGAAGCAGTAGGGTGTTGGGAAAGATGATATAGAGATGCCTCAGTTCATGCTGTGCTGTCAAGGAACATGTAGGCCAATGTGGGAGGTCAGGTGGATGGATTTTTAGATATAGATATGTGTCTAAAAATGGCAGTTGCTATGGGAGGTATCAAATGTTTTAGGGGTTCCCAGGAGGGAGAGGTTGGTTTTATCTAGGATAACTGGAGATGGTATAGAAAAGTAAACACTGCTAAGTCTTCAAGAATGAATAAGACTTGAGGGTAGCCAGACGTGGTGGCACACACTTGTAATCCCCGCACCACACTGGATAGGCTAAAGCAGAATTGAAGGCCTGAGGCCAGCCTGGACTACACTGGGAGACCCTGTCTCAGAGAACAAATAAGAAAAGTACTTGGGCGTTAGCAGGACAGAGGAGCTTCCCACTGAGATGTCTTTCTTTCTCCCTAGACCTGCCCAGCACCACAAGCCCTCTGGTTCTGATGGGAGCTGTGGTGGCAGCCTTGACACTAAGTCTCCTTATGGCATGTGGAGTCCTGATTCTGGGTGCGGAGCATCTAGTAGGCATGGCTGATGCAAACTGCCCCCTCTCTAAGCTATGATGGGCTTCTGTGCAGTTCCAGGGGCAGATGTGGCCAACTTAAGACCCTTACACCACAGAGCAATGGCAGACACCTCTGTGCTTCTAAGAGTAGAAGCTCTGGAGTTGTGGGGGAAATGTGTATTTGAAAAGGCTTCTGGAAGGCTGGTGGATCTCTGTGAGTTCAAGGCCAGCCTGGTCTACATAGTGAGTTCCAAGCCAGCTGGGGCTACAGGAAGACCCTGTCTTTCTTTTTTTTATATGTATGCATGTATTGCCTGCATGTAGGTGAGTGCACCCGTGTTGTGCAATGCCCGCGGAAGTCAGAAGAGGCTGTTGGATCACATAGGACTGGAGTTACGGACAGTTGTTAGCTGCTATGTGGGTGCTGGGATTCAAACCCGGGTCTTTTGCAAGAACAACTAGTGTTCTTAAGTGCTGAGCCATCTCTCCAGCCCCGAAGACCCTGTCTTTAAAAAAAAAAAAAGACTTCTGGAAGGATGTCCTGGGCAGGGTGGGCCTGATGGGTACTAGGAGAGGGTGTGTGTCTGTTCTTCCTACCTTCAGTGAACCAGAAGAAATGGCAGAACCTGTGGGGGACCAGGCTTCCAGGCCCTGAGCTTGAGCTAAGCAAGCTTCAAACCTCTGCCATTAGGACAGCACCCAATCCCTATTACTGTCAGTTGGGACTCAGCCCAGCCCAGTCCTGGCCTCTGCCCCCAGGGCTGACTGAGGTTTTGCCAGCCAATGTTACTCTACTCAGGTGAGTCCTCTACCTCTTTTGGAGAAGCTAGGCATTCTGAACACTTCCCTCCCCAATCCTGCTCCCTGTCATGGTGCATTATGAATCCCAGAAAGCATCCAACTTAAATCCCTTGTGCAGAGGAGATGGAAGCCACACAAGCTCCATATAGAGAAGAAACATATAAAAGGTCAGCTTTAAGCCCGGTTCTAGAGTGATAGGGACCTTGGAATATGACTTTTCTGGAGCCCACAGGTTGCCTTCCTCCTAAAGTATGTGTCTGTATTAGCACAAGGGGAGGCCTTACCCACACTCCCACCTCGACTCTGGCTCTGGCCCTGCCTGTCCTCTCTTCTGCCCTGGCTCTGTGTGGCAGCATCATACTTGCAGGCTTGTGCCTGAGAATATTCCTGACCCAGAAAGAGTTCAGATAGGGTCATCTGGTCTTATTCAGTGGGGACCAAAGTGACCAAGGGGCACTATACCCTCTATGGCCTTTCTCCATACTAATCACCCACTCCCTTCCAACTTGTCTTGTAGAGCCCTGGGCCATGGTGCCTTTGGGGAGGTGTATGAGGGCCTGGTAACTGGCCTTCCTGGGGATCCCAGTCCTCTACAGGTAGCTATCAAGGTGAGAAGAGGTAGGACTTCTGGTTGGGGTAAGAGAACATGGAGGGATGGACAGTTGCTAAAGCTCTCGTTAATCACCCTTCTGAAGCACCCAACCAAAAGTCAGGATCTCTATTTTTCCTCCTCAGACACTGCCAGAGCTCTGTTCCCGACAGGATGAGCTGGACTTCCTCATGGAGGCGCTCATCATCAGGTGCACCTGGGGTCGGGCAGGAGGGTAGGGTGGGAGGCAGAGTCTGCCTGCAGGAATGGCCTCTCCTCCCTTTGGGGTTGAGAGGCAACAGCAAGTCTAGGGCACAGAGGTCTTCCGGTTTCATGGAAACTAGAACATGCTTATCTCCCTGCTGGTGATGGGATATATGCAACACCCCACCCAGCAAGTTCAGCCATCAGAACATTGTGCGCTGTGTGGGGCTCAGCTTCCAGGCTGCCCCTCGTCTCATTTTGCTGGAACTGATGTCTGGAGGGGACATGAAGAGTTTTCTGAGGCATAGCCGGCCACAACTAGTAAGACCTTCCTCTGAGCCTTCCAGGCCCCTCTAAGACGTATCTAAGACCTGGATCAACTGATACACCTTCTGCCCAATCCAGAGTCAACCATCACCTTTGGCCATGCAGGACTTGTTGCAGCTGGCTCAGGACATAGCCAAGGGCTGTCATTACCTAGAGGAAAATCACTTCATCCACAGGTTGGGAGCAATTCTGGCTTGGGGGGCGGGTGCGGCTAACTTGCTTCTGAAACAATAGACCTGTACAAATATTTAAAGAACCATTCAGGGTCAGAACCCAGTGTTGTTTTTTGTTTTGTTTTGGGGTTTTTTTGGTCCTATTCCAGAGACATTGCTGCCAGGAACTGCCTGCTAAGCTGCACTGGGCCCAGCCGAGTGGCCAAGATTGGGGACTTTGGGATGGCAAGAGATATCTACCGGTGAGCAGGGATTGCTGAGGTGGGAAAGCTGCTGCTCCAAGGGGGCTCACCAACAGCTTGACAATACATGAAAAGCTCATTACTTTCCTCCTCCTTTCTGTAGGGCCAGTTATTACCGCAAGGGGGGCCAAGCCTTGCTCCCTGTCAAATGGATGCCTCCAGAGGCTCTCCTGGAGGGTGTCTTCACATCCAAGACAGACTCCTGGTGATAGCATGGCTTCCCCTGTTCCCCTCCTCTGCCTTGAGGCTAATCCTGTCCTTTCAGGCCACCTCACATGAGGGAAGTGGAGGCTGCATCATGATGATGGGTCTTGTCTGTTCCTCCCACCCCTGGTGCAGGTCTTTTGGGGTACTGCTCTGGGAGATCTTCTCACTGGGTTATATGCCCTATCCTGGGCATACCAACCAGGAAGTTCTGGATTTCATCATCAAAGGGAGCCGGATGGACCCTCCTAGGGGCTGTCCTGGGCCAGTGTGAGTTACTAGTGCTCCCCAGGGAGGGGGTTCCTTAAGATCATGGAAGGCATGAACTTCTGCCTTTCCCCAGGTACCGCATCATGACCCAGTGTTGGCAGCACCAGCCTGAGCTCCGCCCCAACTTTGCCAGCATCTTGGAGCACCTTCAATACTGCACTCAGGTGCCCCCCCAACTCTCTCATGTCCTTCTGCTCCCCTCTGACCATACTGGTCTGTGGGACAGGAAGAAAGCCACAAAACAATGATATAGTTCCCTGTTACCCCACTCTCATTATAGGACCCTGATGTGCTGAATTTGCCCCTGCCAGTGGAACTGGGGCCCATCTTGGAGGAGGAAGGGGCTTCTGGGCTGGGGAACAGGTCCTTTGAGGATCTAAAATCCCCACAGCCCCTGGACCAGTGTTCAGTGAACTTGAAAAGCTGGGGAGGAAGCCCTTTTGCCTCTTGGCTGTCTTCTGATCTCAAATTCCAAGGCCTCCAACCTCAGAACCTTTGGAATCCCACCTATGGTTCCTGGGCCCCAAGGGCCCCTGAGGGTGAAGACTCAGGCATTGACCTCAGCAACAGCTCCTCCTTGCATACCTTTCCAGGCCTCTAGCTGGCTTGTTATTCCAGTAGCCTCTGCCCCCTGCAGTCCATGCTGCATGTTCAGGCCTGTCTCAGGGATGTCCTGGCAGCCTTGGCCTTTCCACACTGGAAGCCAGCCCAGGGCTCCTTGGGGAAGGGCCTGATCACTCCTAATCTTTGGTCTTTGGAACCACAGGCTGCCCACCCACCCACTCTAGGAGTCAGTGAGGAGTCCTGGTTTGCCCTCTTCCCATAAAACATCTTTCATCTGGTCAGTTCCCAGTCCTGCAGATGTTTCTAATAATACTAATAAAAAATCTCATCTTTCAGTTATCTGAGTGGATGTGAAAGAGTCTGAAACTGAGGAAGAGCGGTCTAGAAGTGTAATGGATGAGGCTTGAATCACAGAAGCTGCATCTTTGAGTTTTATTAGGAAGGGGTGTCCATTGTAGTGTAGGAAGTTAGACCAGTAGGTCTACACCTGTGAAATAAAATTCTGTATCTGGCCCCTCTGGAGAGGTATAGAGCCACCTCAGAAGAGCTGGGCTGAGGAAGAAGCCCAGTGTTCCCTCCCCTCCTGTATATTAGTGTCATTCAGCTCTGGGAGGCTGGGGCTCATGTGAAGGCAAACTCCTCATGTTGGTAGTATACCCCCTCAGTGGATGGCACTTGGTCCTGCAGGACCATGTGAACTGCCCGCCCAGCGGGGTTCCAATCTGTTGCCGGCATGCATGATGGGGATGCAGCCACAGGTTCATTGTCTGTCTGGCCAGCCAGCCCAAGTGTGGGGACAAGGGCCCAGCCTCATCTCTCAGCCAGGCTGGCCAGGATGCCAATGAGATTGTCCAGCCCCAGCAAATAGCCGTCTTCACGGTTGCCCTCTTCCCAGGGCCTCCGATGATCCAGGATCTGGCCATCAGGAAGGGGAGTGGTCTTGCCAAAATCGATGAGCCACACACCAGCGCGATGGCAATGGTCATGCACAAAGAGGAGGGAGCTGCCAATCACCTGCCGACCCCATGGCAGTCAGGCCACCATCCTTTCCAGGAGAAGCCCCCGCTTTTCCCATTCTAGCCCTCATAAAGCACAGGCCCAGCACCTGAGCCCACCCACCTCTTACCTCATGCCTCCTAAAGAACTCTGAGATTTCAAGCGTGTCCCGGATCTGCTGCAGGCGGTTCAGATACCTCCTCTGGAAAGGGCAGAATGGGCAAATTAATTACACACTAAGGGAGGCTCTACTAACATTGAGAAGCACCATGCATTCTCAGCTTGGCAAATGCAGTGTTAGGAAGACATAGCCCCATGGGGCCCACATAGGAGCAATTACAGTACAATAAGGTAAGTGCTTACTGGGGAGGGCACCTAGACCAGAGCACCAGAAAGAATGATCAGGAGGAAGGACGCCTCTGGGTGCCTCAAAACCCCAAGGTTCTGGGAACCCGTTCTTACCAGCACTTCAGCATCTCCTTGCATGAACTCCTCAAAGACACGAGTGACCTGTTCTCGGCTTCGTGTAGTCTTGAAGTCGGTGCTGCAAGATCCATCGGCTTTCTGAAGGAGGTGGGCAAGGAGTGTCAGGGACCCGGACCCACCTGAGAGGAGAGAGGATCATGCAAGGGCAGTGGTACCTCCCTAGGACCTTAACCTCTGGGGACCAAGAGGTGGTCGCCAGAGGGTGTCTCCTGGTAGCGGTTGAGGCAGGTGGTCAACAAACAGGACACGCGCACATATTGAAGTTAGGGCAGAGGAAGGGCACCGCCATGCAAACCAAGCGAGCCTGGCCCACCTTGATGCCCTCGATGCGGAAGCCGAGCGTGGTGCTTGAGCTGATGCCTTCGCGCCATTGCATGTAACGCGGCTTGGTGACAGCGCGCTGTGCGTGCTCCTCCTCAGTAGGCGCCTCAGGGTCCACTGCCAGCATCTTCTTGTACATGTCCTTCCGCAGTTTGGGCCGTTCTCGGGCCTTGGTCAGTTCCTCCTCCAGGTAAGTTCTGTGAAGTGTAGGCAGAGGTCAGAGCCTGAAGGGGTGCAGACAGAGACCCCATACAGCACTCACTCTGGAACACAGTGTTGAGTGTTTGTCTCAGGTACTTGATCCCCACTGATTCTGCCCGGTCGGTCGAGAGGGAACACAAACCTGACACCCATCTTGCAGTCAAGCACGCAAGGTCCATCGAAGCCATCAAGCAGGTCCTGCAACTGCAAGTAATTTTCGCCATCCTGCTCCACTACACCATGGAAGGCAGGCACACATCCACGCAGCACATCTGCCATCAGCCGCACCAGGCAGTAGTGCTCCGGCTCAGAACTGCGCTTCAGGATGAGGCCGCTAGTGCCTGCAGCTTTGAAACTCCCTGCGGGTGGGACGGGTGGGACACCGGTTAGCAGGGCCTGGACCCTTCTTTCCCAGCAACGTCATTCACCTGCAGTGATCCTCACCTGTGTGGCCTGCCAGCTGCACCCACGAGTAGCGTTTCTTGAAAGGACTCATGACTGGCAGATTCACCATGGTACGGATCTTCTGCCAGTGGCTTTTCTGAAAACATGTCGGGATCTGCACATCAGCATCTCAACCATGCCTTAAGCCCTTCCTCTCTAGAACTGGAGTTCAACCTGACCCCACCCCAATTAGAAGTAGTTAGGGCCAGTCTACAGGATTCTTTCTTTTCATCCATGAGTTCACTGCTCACTCATTGAGCCACCCACCCACACAGAAAAAGTTTACTGAGTCAGTATGGCAGGTACTGAAACAGGCAGAGAAGGTGGTTGGAGCTTCTCTAGCATCCAAAGGCTCAGGTTTGAACCCAGTTCTACCACTGCGCACTAAATTGCTCTACTGAGGCTTTCCAACTTTTGTGAATGTCAGAATAACTTCGTGGTTACCCTTGATGGTGATTCTGAGATCTACTACAGGGAAATCCTGGGTAAGCCTGGGAAGGGACCAAAAATCTGCATTTAGATTTGTAGAACTGGGGCAAAAGTAGATTGTGGGTGCACTCACTTGGCACCTGGTTCCTCTCATTTGGAGAAACAGATCAATCACAATGAACCATTAATATAGGACCAGGGAAGGGAGGCCAGCCTGCCAGGACTAGTAGAAAGAATGGCTTGAGACTCCCCAAGAACCTCTAGTGTCCTTGGATCCCATGTACTTCTCACTAGTTTACAAAGTCCAGGCACCCTTGGCTCTGATCTAGCACTAGAAACCTGAACCCTGAATGTGGGCTGCAAAGTAGAAGGCCTATCCTCTTAGACAAAACTGCTGGTATATGTAGATATTTAGGGGTGGAGCTCTACCTGATCATGAAAGTAACTCACGCTCAGGACCTTTCCACTCCCACCCCAAACTCAGCAGTCCCTTGTCTACTTTCTGACATGCAGCTCAGCTATGTGTCTTGTCTGCTGCCTCCTCCCAAGGATGCCTGCCTTTCAGAGGAGTTACTAGAACCCAGAAACCAGCCTCCTTCACAAAAGAGAGTGCTAAGAACTGAGGAGGTGACCTAAGTAACAGAAGATTGATGACCAGAAACCTTGCTTATGGAGAAGAGATGGGGTTGGTGACAAAGCACTGGGGAAGGAAGAAGCCGTTGGTTCTAGTCCCGGCTTTGTCATTTTCTAGCTCAGTGAATCCAAGCAAGTACTGTCATCCATGTGGGCCCATTTCCTCTCGGAGGATGTAGTGGCTGCCCTAACATGAGCCATCATTTACTGACTGCCTACTGCATGCCAGGCACCTTCTCATCTTCCCACAATCAGCACTGCTCTCACTTTCCTACTAAAGTCCCAACATGGTATACTAGGGTGTGATCACATGGCCAATCCCTGGAGATCTGGGGGTGTAGCCAGAAGCAGCCCACTGGAAGCATGACATCTTTCAAAACTCCTTTTATAAATCTTTAAATACATACAAGTTTTGCATTTTGCTGCATAATAAATCCAAGTTTTATTATAAAACTTCCCACCCCCAAATCCTCAAGTAAAATTCCAGGAAGATGATTTATGTAGTATGTATATTCAGCAGCAGCATCTTAAACCTTTTCTCTCACATTCAACTTGAAAAGCATGATGACCACTATGCCCATACACAGCACGAGGTGGTGTTAGTCCATTTTGCAAAAGGAAATCAAGGCTCTTGGAAAAGTTAGCATCCTCATGCCCTATTTCTAGACTCCCAGCCGCTGGCTTATGCTCTCTACCAGCCCAGCTTCCTCCCCACAGTCCATTCACTCTAGCAGTTTTCCTAGTCTCCTTCTGGGAGTCAAAAGGGATACCACATAACAGAACTTCATATAAAGTGAAGCAATTTGTAGCTAGGGTGCTGTGAAGGTTTTAATCTCTAGATGGGCCTGGGGACCCCTCTCTGGGGCTAGACACCTTTGTCTTCATCCAAAGGAATGAATTTACTGGTGAAAGCTTCAAGGTGGTTTCAGAAGCCTGCTAACAGAATTTGGGGAATTGTGGTACAAGAATGGATTTAACCATAGGACACATCTAGTTATGTAGTCATCCTGGGGGGAGAACCAGCATTGAGCTAGGCTGTGTGAGGGCAGTGCACTGTCCTTCCTTTGGGGATCAGTGAAAGGGCTGGAAGGTAGAAGAGGGGCCTGGCAGAAAAGGATTGATGAGCTGGTCACAACATGACAGCACATGCCTGTAGTCTTAGCTACTCCAGGGGCTGAAGGAGGAGGATCCTTTGTACCCAGGAATTTGACACCAGTCCTAGAAACATGGTGAGACAGGTCTTAAAAAAATTTATTTTGAGGCTGGGCATGGTGGCGCATGCCTTTAATCCCAGCACTCAGGAGGCAGAGGCAGGCGGATCTCTGTGAGTTCAAGTCCAGCCTGGTCTACATAGTGAGTTCCAGGCCAGCTGGGGCTACAGGGAGACCCTCTCAAAAAGACAAAAAATAACCCCAACTAAACAAAATTTCCTTGCCAGGCTTGGTGGCACACGCCTTTAATTCCAGCACTCAGGAGGTAGAGGCAGGTGGATTTCTGTGAGTTCAGGGCCAGCCTGGTCTACATAGTGAGTTCCAGGCACATGGCAGCTAACAACTGTCTGTAACTCCAGTCCTAGGGGATCTGACAGCCTCTTCTGACCTCTATGGGCATTGCATGACATGGGTGCACTTACCTACATGCAGGCATACACACATAGACATAAAATAAAAATAATAAAATTTTTTAAAAAAAGAAAAAACAGCTTTAAAAAATTTATTTTGGTATACTACCACTTGGTTGATTGGTTAATATACGATAACAGCATCAAATTTTCCCCAAGCTGATATGAAATAAAGCCATCACTCATTCTCCCTACCCTTGTTTTGTGAGTCCCATATGAGCAAAGAGCAGCAGGTTCTGGCCATGCAGAACAAAGTGCTTTCCTGACCATTATCCCAGCTGAGCTTCCCAGATACCTCCTGAGCTTTCTTATGACAAGGCTTAGCTCCCATGCCACTAATGGAGATGTTCAGATATGGAACGAGTTGATGTGCCTTGGAAGCCAACTCACTACCATCTTCCCTTTTCCTTCAGCAGAGAGCATAATGCTTTTTTTTTAACTTAAAAAAATTTTATTATTTTTATTTTACATGTATGAGTGTATTGTCTGCACCTGTGTCATGTAATGCCGTGGAGGTCAGAAGCGGGCTTAGGATTCCCCTGGAACTGGAGTTAAGGACGGTTCATAGCCGCCATGTGTGCTGGGAATTGAACCCAGGTCCTCTGCAAAAGCAGTGCCCTTAACCACTGAGCTATCTCTCCAGCCCTGAGAACATTAATGCTTTGACAATGTATCTAAAAAGCCTTCTGGAGAATCACTCTTGGGTTGGTGGGTACGTGGGGAATTTGGCTTATAAACAACAGCAAGGAAGATATTTTTGATCATGTGAGACTTTTATTGTAAGGGTTTCAGAATGCAGAGTGGTCTAGCTGCCAAGGAGGCCAAAGCCCCACTGTTTAGCCCAGCCCTCCCTCCATGGAGGTTCCAGCTCCTGAAAAACAATACATAGAGGCTATCTGGACATTTGGGGGCAAAAGCCAAGAAAGTTGTGTCCAAGATTCCCTGATGACATAGAACGCTCTGATAATTCTTCACCTCTAGGGTTAACAGGAAGCACTTTTCCATGGGCAGGGGTCTTGCTGGATCCCAGCCTCAGACCTCCTTTGTCTAAACTGTTTGGAAGCCTTGAGGACACCTGCTCTGTATCATCCCACAGAGCCTATTCCCTGTCAGATTAGACACGTTTCTCTGTTTGTGGTTCTCACCCCGTTCCCTGTATCTTTAGCATTATCATTCCTTGTTGAAATTTCTGCCAGCCCAGCACCCTCCCCATGTTCCAATTGTCCTATCAAACTAGCCTCCCTGTGGTGGTGGTGGGGAGAGCAATCAATTTAAATTTATAAAATGATTTGCGCTAAGGTATAAGTGACCCACGACTTCACCTTCCCATGGGCATTTGCTTTTTAAAAAGGAAGTCTGTTAACCTAAATTCTGCTCTATAATTAGTGGAAAATGATGTGTGGGGGTTCTGAGTCCAGGAGGGGACAAGCATCCAGGTCTTCTTACCTAGCCTGGGTTATTGAGAAAAGAAAACTAGATGAATAAAAACTAAACACCCTCTCTTCTGCTAAAGTCACCCCCCCCCCACACACACACTTGTTTGAGGAGACAGCCAAGGCCTAAGAGTCATGACAGCTGTCCTTAGGGGTTAGGCCTCCAACTTGGCTTGTTCAGCTTTTTCTGCCCCTGACTTTTTCTTCTACCAGAGGTCGCCGGAGGGAGCAAGGCTGCCCAGTCCCAACTGCCCTGCTTTGGGCAGGCTAGACAAATCCCTAGGAGGTAAAGGGAAAGGTTGTAGGGCCTGGCAGAGGCAGATAGAGCCTTCTGGAGCCTTCGTTCTACCCAGGCTGCTGTGAGGGACTGGCCAGGTGGCAGCCCTAGGGTGCAGCCACAGTACCTTCCCTAGCTACATCCTTCATTTAGCGAGCCGGGCTCTGCTTTCAGCCTGCGGAAGCCCTAAAAGGTGGCCTGGGCGGGTTTGCAGTGGCACTTCAGGCCCGACTGTGAGGCAAAGTCCGCTCCTGGCCCTTCCACGCGGACGCAGGCAGCCTCTGTCAACAGCTCCTGGCTTATCTGCCCTGCCGGGGCTGTTTGCCTTCGGGGAGGCCCGGCGGGCTGGGGGTTGGGAAGCCCTGCAAGACACTGGCTGGGTGTTGAAAGGGCCCTGGGCGGCCATCTGTGCCAGCTCCGGTGGGCTTCCCGAGACACCGAGCTCAAGATGGGAGAGGACGGAGGCTGCGGCTGGTCCTCCTGGTCCTCGGGGGTCCTAACCTCTGCGATTTCGGGCGGCTGTACTCCTCGGCGCAACCTCTCAGGGCGCTGCGCTGAGTCTCCGCGGGCGGAAGTGGGAGTGGGGCGTGCCTGCGTCCGCGTCCCCAGCTCCCACCCGGCGCGCCCTTCCTGCCCCGGACCGCCTCTCAGGTGTTAAGAGATTCGAGCGGGGGAGCGACCGATCCACCACCCAGCTTCTTCCGAGGAGGCCTCAATGCGCACATGCCACAGTCCTGGAAAGCGTGCGGCATGCGCCCCAGACGGTAGGCTAGAGACGCTCCAGGAACCGGCCAGAGGGTACGCTTCCCCATCCCGGCTGGAGAGGGGCGCAGCGGACGCGTGACTCAGCCCACACCTGCACCTGGCGGCGGCGGCGGGCGGGGAGGACGGGCGTTCTTTCTCTGGGAGAGTTTAGTTTTTTTTCCCTTTTCCTTTGTATTTTGTGTCACACACACCCCCCCTTTCTGGATATCGCCAAGTCTCTGAGTTACAGAACAAGTGGTTACACAGCCTCCGGCTCCCCATCCAATTCCAGGCCACAGCTCAGTGCGCTCCCCGAGGCGTCCAGGCAACCAGGGCGTCCGGGACTCCCGCTTGAAGTCGCCAGGACACTGCCTTCTGGGCAGGGCTGGAGGATACTGAAGGCAGAGGGGGGCATCGCTCGCCTCACCCTCCTCTCCAGGGACGCTTGGTTGTAAAGAACATCTCCCGCAACGCTGCGCTGACCGCGATTTGGGTACTTGACCATGGTTAAAACAAGAGGGATTACTAGGGGGATGAAGAGGAAGAGCGCTGAGGCAGGACGACCGCAAGTTCTGGTATGGGCTGAGTGTTTCAGTCTAACCTGGGCAATTTAGTGGGGATCCTGTCTCAAAATAAAAAGTAAAAAGAGTGCTAGGGAGGTGCTCAGTGATGGTGTGCTTGCCTAGGACATTCGCTATCCTGGGTTCAAGCCCCAGTACCGAGGGATGTGTAGGGGACCCCAAAGGAGGCCGGGCCGTCCCAGGAGGGGCACACCAGGAATAATGACATCACATCTCACTCTGGCCTGTGTTATTTGAGGGCTGAACCCACCGCTAGAACACCCACGCTACTAGAGGCAGCTAACAAGCTGATCCTGTCTCCTGTCAGCCTCAGTTTACCTTCCCTGGTCAGGCTTAGGACAGCAGGCGAAGGGGCAGAGGTGGGGAGCAGGTGGGCCTGCGTTCTGCCTGGACCTCCCAGCCCTGCGCCCCTCCCTTCCTGCATCCACGCCTCGTGCGGGCGCGGGGAGCAGACGGCAGCGGCTCCGGAGCAGAGCCAGGAGCTCCGCTCCACTCCCACTCAGGAGAGGGAAACCGTGGCAACGGCGGGGGTGGGGCCGCGCCACCAAGAGGGGGCGGGGAGAGAGGCGAGCGCATTCGCCCCTCTTTCTTCCGGCTCATTGGGCAAGGCTAGCCCCCTCTGATCTCTCCAGTCCTACCTACCGGTGACTAAGGAGCGCTCGCCGCCCTGCCCGACCCCGGTGGCCGGTCGTACACTCTTCCCTCTCCTTTTAGACGCCCCAGCGCTCAGCCACGATGCGCCGGCCGAGCCGGGGGGAGACTGCCAAGGGGGGAGGTCGGCCTGAGGTGCCTCTGCGCCCCCATGCTCCTCCCCAACAGTGAGAGTGGGACTGTCGGCAGGGGCGCGGGAGACCGAGTCTGTCCTTCCAGACCCGGGAGCCGAGTCCCGGCGCAGCCCCCGCTGGCCCCGCCCCCGCGGCCGGTACCTGACCCACGTCCTCGCTGGCTTCCAGCTGCACGTTGCCGCGGCTCCGGCTCTCACTGTCGCTCAACAGATCGTCTTCCGAGTCCTCGAGCAGCGACGAGGAGCCGGTGGAGGAGAGCGATGAGGTGGATAGGCGGCGTGGCTGCTGCAGGTGCGACCCTGCCGCCGGGAGCCAGTCACCCTCCCGCTCCGGCGGCCCGGGGCTGGCCGGGGCCACGTCCTCCTCGGTTGTCACGGTTAGCTGCGGGATCACTGGGGCAGGGGCAGCCCGCGGGAGCCCGTTGGGGACTTGTCCCCCTCGCCGCTTGGCCCTGCGGGCCCGGGGATCCCCGGCTGCGGCTGAGGCGGCGACCGCGGCGCAGCGTGCCTCGAAGAGCAAGCGCAGCTCTCCGACGCTCCGGCGCGGGGCGCGCTCCAGCCCGGGGCT